AACGAGGCCTTGCTTGTCGCAAAATTGTGTAAATTGCTGATGATGGCCAAGAATAGGGTTGTTAGCGCTGATAAATTGTTAGAGGTCAAGAGGGAATTCGGTTTCCCCAATAATTTCCTGGTAAAATTAATTTCTAAGTATCCAGAGTATTTTAGGTTGCATGGAGCACCAGGGGAGGGGAAGTCATTCCTTGAATTGGTTTATTGGAACGCAGAATTTTCGAAGTCGGTGATCGAGAGGAGGGCTGAGGAGGAATCAACATCATTAGGGATTAAGATTAGGCCAGCATTCGAGTGGAAGCTTCCTCGAGGATTCTTTATCAAGAAAGAAATGAGGGAGTGGATTAGGGATTGGATGGAGATGCCCTACATTTCACCTTACTACGATGCATCCCATTTGGATCCAGCCTCGCCGGAGATGGAAAAGAGAATGGTTGGGGTTTTACATGAGCTGCTTTCTCTATCTGTTCATAAGAGGCTACCCGTCCCGACAGTGGGAAAATTTTGCGAAGAGTATAGGTTTTCAAATGCTTTTCAGAGTGTATTCACCAGACATTCTGGATTGTTCTATATGTCGTTGAAAGGTGGAATTACGACCGCAATGCTGAGAGAAGCATACAAGGGTGAGGAGTTGGTTGATCGCGATCCACTTCTCGAGATTAAAGATAAGTTTATTGAGTTGCTGCAAGAGGGACAGCGACAGAGGTCTGAGCAATTGAGATTGGATCGAGGAGCAATTCAGAAGGACCTGGAACTGATGGCTGCTCGGAACAAAGAACTGGACTTTAATCAGGAGTCTTGAAATTGTAAAAATTGTGCATTGCTGAAAATGGAGGTCGGATTCAGATATGGGAAGACATAAGCTCATTGAAAATGGGAGAGAATCGTCTTCTGGCTAACGCCGGTTTGGTAAAAACTTGCTTTCCGATTCAATTTTTTAAATAAACTTTCAATCATCTATACAAATTACATGTTTTTCATAGATTATACTCTCTAATTGGATATTATATGCTCTATAAGTTTCCCCGATACCCAAATTGAACACGTCGTAATATATATATGTATATATAGTGTTTGTTAACAGTGTATAGTTCATGAATCTAACCCTTACGTGTCGTTTGATAGGTAATTTACTTACAATGTTCGATTTTCTGTGACACTTAACCTCTGTATATTAGAAATCATGCTCAAGAGGTACTTAGAGTTTAAAGGTCTTTCTCCGACTGCGATGTTTCTGCCTCTAAGTTTGGTTTAAGATCGATTGCACGCAGAATGAATGATAATTGGTGACCTATTCACTTCCGAAAAAATCAATCACCACACTTGATTCATTTACTGTTTTTATAATGTAACCTGAAACCGTACCTAACGGAGGAGCACAAAAAGCATGTGGATTACCAAACTGTATATAAGTAGGTTACGGGATTATTACAAAACCTAAGTTTCTTATTTCTTTTTTCTGCAGGTGCAACGATAAAAAAAAATTCAAGAAATGGATCGAGCTATCGTTATTCATCTGCCACTGATTGTGATGATTTTGGCGCTTTTCTCATCCGTGGCAACCCATTGGGTTCCCCGTTCGCCCCCACCCCCGATCACCCCCCCGCCCCTCTGTGCCTCCCAGTTCACATTGGTGAATCGGGCGTGTGCCATGCTACCTTACATGCCAGGCCCCCCGGCGTTTCACCCCGCCTCGGTGGATGAGGAAGAGAGTCGGCGCCACCATGGGCACCACCACAACCACAGGAGTACCCACCAAGAATCGCCCGAGCAACAGGATTGCTGCCGGTGGCTGAAAGAAGTTGACAATGTGTGCGTTTGCGACCTGCTGGTGCGCCTGCCGCCGTTCCTGACGCGACCTATGCACAACTACACGGTCGTGGTCGATGACTCGTGCGTCGTCACGTTCGCGTGCGGATCGAGATTGGTTCGGGTTTGAGCGGTTCGGGGGTTGTTTGGTTTATGTGTTGAAATGGGAAATGTAAGATTTATTACACTAATCGTTAAGATTGGCCTATGTTAATTTTCTCGCACGAAGCGTTAGAGCTAATGATGTAGCAAATGTTAATTTTATACGTACTGATGATGTTGTTGTGGCTCTGTAATATTGTATGTTTATAATTCATATTTTATGTTTATATTAATATTTAATATTCCTTCTGCTTGTAAGGATCAAGTTTACCTTTGCGTTTTTAATATTAAAAATATTTTTATATTTGTATAATTTTTATTTTTTTACGAATATTATTCTATTAGTATTATAAGATATTAAAAAAATAATTGGGGGATCTTATAGTCGAAAATAAATGAAGAACCATTAGAGACGGGTATTAAATTTATATTTTAGATGCCGTATGTTTATAATTCATATATTATCAATATATATATATATATAATATTGAATTATTTCATTTAATACTATAACAACAACTATACATATATTATTCCTTCCTCTTAATTTAATACATTTTTGTTATCATTTTTATTTGTCTCACTTAAAATATCTCATTTTAATCATAGGAAAAGTAATTATATTTAAATAGCAAAATTTCCCAAACTTTTACAAAAATATTCGTTTTTATTTTTAATACTTACAAAAGTAAAAATGTCAACATTTTTCTACACATTTTTATTAATAAATAAAATACTATTTCCTCCGTCTCTTATTTATGTATTCGTTTGTTTTTTGCACGTAATTTTAGGAATATTAGTATTATATTGGGGTGTGGTATGAATAAAATAGAAAAGAATAAAATAACCTTATTAGTATTGTGTGATATAAAGATAATAATATTATTTGTGTGATATATTGTAAATTGTAGGGGTATTTTTAATGTTATAAAATATATTTACTGAAAATAAAAATTGATATTTTATTGTGGGACAGACCAAAATAAAAAAAATGAATAGATTGTAAGGGACTAATGAAATATTATTTTTAATATATTTAAAAAGAAAAAGAAATTCATTGAATTAGAACGGACATAATATTAATTAATTGGTTGTTATCTCATTCATATTCCTCTTCTTCTACTTGACTTCAATCTAATTAGAACCAATCTGTTAATTATTATTATTATTATTATAGATATTCTCTCTTCTTCTTCTTTTTCTCAAAAAAGAGAAACTTGAGATGATATTTGAATTTACGTTAAAAATATTATGATAATTTATCATTTAATCTATTGGTTGTGTGATGATAAAATATATTATTTTCATCCGGCTCTCAGGGTTATATTTATTTTTTGCTTATTAATGTTTAAATATTAATTATTCTATCAAAATATAGTAAAAATTAAAAAAAATATATCAAAAATATTTCTATTTAGTGTTTTATAATACAATAGAAAAATATTTGTAAAAAATAATTATACAAATTTAAAAATATTTTTAATATTAAATAAAATAAATGTAATTAATCCGAGGGAGAAAACAATATTTTATTAAAATTTAGATAGATAAGGAGCTTTGTTATTTTTATTTTTATTTTTATTTTTTACTATTCATTCTTTAATTAATAAAATTATATAATTTTTTATTACAAAATATTTAAAATGATATGATTACAAAAATATAAAAAAAAAAATAATAATAATAATACAATATCTATAATTAAATATATACGCATCACAAAAATAACAAAAAAATACGCTAAAAACCAACAAAAACACATATCATTCCTTAAAATTATTCACCATTTTATATATTTTACGGATAAAACATCTGAAACTATAAAACTAAAAAATTAAGCTCTATACATTTCAAAAACTATATATTAAATAGAAATATATATATATATATATATAAAAGTTATGTATACAATCTAAATAAGTAAATAAAAGACAATTACATATAATAAATATATACTTACTCCGGAGGGAAGGGAATAAGCCAGGCCTGTCAGGGGCATGCCGCTTGGTTTAGGTAAGGCTTAGCTTAGCCTGATTTAAAAAGTCAGGATAAAAAAAATTTTAAATTCTTTTTATTTAAATAGAATAAACTTAAATTTAAATTTTATTTTATTTTATTTTTTAATTAACAGTCCAGTCTAATAATTATTAATTTTTTTTATAAATTATTATTATTATTATTATTATTATTATTATTATATATTAAAAATAACTTTCTATCTAATAATAATATTTATTAAATAATTTTAATTATAAATTTATTATAAATAGATAGAATATTTTAACTTTTATATATATTAAATAATTATATATACTTTATTTTTTTTAATTTTTAACTAAATTTGCACGTAAATAAATAAAAATCTTATTTGATTTTTAAATAGGATTGTAGATCACGCCAGACTCAGGTTTTTAAAAATAACAATTCAGGCTTACAGGCCTACGCCAAATATTTTTAAAACAGGCCAAATTTGTTTAGGCAAAGTCTGGCTTTTTTCCACCCTTATTACTCTGTCGGTCTCATTTCTTTTTGCATCATTTTACTTATTATTAAAAATATTATTATATTTTTATAAATTTTTGTATAAATATTATAATAATATTATAAGAGATTAATTGAAGTATTTTTGTCATTTTTTTTATTTGTATTACGTTTTTATATAATAATTAATATTTAAATATCAACACGCATAAAGTAAATGAGATTTTTAGAGCCGACCATAGACAGCAGTACTATTACTTGTATTCTTTCCATCTATTTTGCTTGTATATATTTACTTTTATTACGCAAATTAAGAATTATTAATATTTTATATGTGACATGTAGTGTATAATAGTGTTGATTATTAATACTTTTAAAAATAAGATGAATATATTATAAAATTAAATATTTATAAGTTGATAATTTTAAGTAAAATACAAGATGATTTTAATATCGTACAAGAATACAAATATTTAGATTAAGAAATGAATATATTAGAACTTCTATTATGTATGTATACATTTACTATCTAGACGAATAATAGAGTATTAAGTGCGTAAATATAGGTATTTTTGTAAAAAAAAATTACCATTGACGATCAGATCGGAAGGGACCAATAGAATCGACTCATTCGTAGTGTTTTTTGATCTCCTCAAGTAAAGATTCAAACTATCCCGCACTAGTTTTGTGATTAAAACCGCGAGAAGACAAAAAATTGAATTAAAAAAAATATGATAATACTAAAAATTAAGAAATAAAAGGCAGGAATTTCTTTATAATATGCAGGCAAATTAAACAAAATTGTAACACAGTTTGAAAAAGCTAAGAAAAATTTTAAAAGAAAAGAAAATTATGTTGGAAAATCTGCGTAAATAAGAGTTTCTTTATCGATATTCCTTCCAATATTTTCTCGACAAAAATTGTCATTTCATTGGATAATTTTTCTATTATTATTAGTTTTTGTTCATCATCATTTTTTGATAGATTAATTTTATTTTTTTTCATATAATGCGTGGAATTGTGTCAAAAAGATTATTATTTTAAATTGAAAGTTTGATTTTTTAACTTTTTTTTTTGTTATTATTTACGGAAAATCACAATTCAAAAATTGGAATGAGTGAAATGCATCTTCACCTTCCCGGTCTATGAATTGGAGTTTAAAATTTTTGATAGTTTTTGTTATTTTTTTTTTTTTTTTTTTTGAGAAATTGAATTTCGAGTTGAGATTTGAATAGTAAAAATTTTGAATTATAATAATTGTACAATGTGATATAAATAGGTATTGATGTGATGTTTTAAATATAAAATTAATTCTTAATATAATATAAAAAAATAAAAAAATAAGTATTTAATTTGATTTTTTTTTAAAAAAAAATTGAATGAATAGTAAAATTTGGGACAAAATCTTTAAACGGACACACCTTAATATATCCGTTATAATTACGTTACTTATTAATTAATTTATTATTACAATTTTCAATACATTTAATTTAATTTATTTATCTTTAATATGAAATTATATAATAAATATGTATATAAATTAATCATTATTATATATTTTTATTTAATAAATTAATGTATTTAAAAAAAATAAAAATATATAAAATAATTTATAATTTCAATTACTCATGATTTAAAACATAAAATAATAATTACCAAAAGTATAAATATATTAAAATAATAAATAAATTATATATATAGACAATTATGGTACTGCTGATTTGATTTAATCAATATATATATATAATAAAAATATCCAACAAATATTTTTACTATATAATATTACAAGGAAATATATATAATTATATTTGTACTGTATTAAAATTACTATATGATGTCAGAACATACGATGTGTAAAATTATACTACCAATCAAACAAACGATAATTTGTTCGATTTTAATTTTGCAAGTTCGATCACGAATCAAATTATAATAAATCCATATTATAATTTAACTCAAAAATCAAGCTCTCCAAAAATTAAAATTATATAATATATATATATATATATTCAGCGTGTAAAATTAGCAAAATTTTCAATTAATTAATAATGAGCCATCACCGCCGCCGCCGCCGCCGTAACTCGGCGCCTCATCGCCGTCACGGCCACCGCCGGCGAGTCCATCTCATACAAAAATCGACTCACCACCGCCGCCCCCGGCCCCGCCACCGCTCTCTCCCACGCCGCCGCCGCCTCCTCTGCTCCGCCGCGTTTCATAAACACTTCCGTCGCGTCCAGGCGGTGCATCCTCCACCCTCGGATCCTCCTGAGGCGGTGGATCTTCTCCAGCTGCCGGAAAGCCAACCGACTGGTGTTCATCTTCACCAAATCGATCGCCTCCGCCAGAATCCTAGCCTTAGTTTCCTCATCGGAATTCGACTCCAAATCGAAGAAATCGTGCAGCTCAGGAACTCCAATTGCTCGCCGAATCCCCTTCGAATAATCCCCATTCGGTCGGTAGAAATCCCTAATTTCCTCAACCATACCTCTCTCCACCATTTTATCCACCCGATCTTGCACAAACGAATGCAGCACAGGCATTGCAACATCTACCCAAAGGAAGCAGCAATCGTACCTGGATCGAAAATCGGAGTCGTCGAGAAGCGCCTCGACGAACGAATTCGAACCGCCTGCTATAATCGGCAACCGCGACCGCTTTAAAATCGACTTGACGGAGGCGGCGGCGACAGCGCGGAAGCTGGAGGCGGAGAAATCGGAATCCGGATCTGCGATTCCGAGGAGGTGGTGCGGCACGCCGCGGCGCTCATCGTCGGTGACTTTGTTGGTGGCGATGTCGAGGCCGCGGTAGAGCTGTATCTTATCGGAGTTGACTACCTCGGCGGAGAATGCTGTTGCGAGGTCTATGGCGAGGCGAGATTTTCCGGTGCCGGTGGCGCCGAGAACCACCACAACCTTGTCCTTGGAGTAACCGCCGGCAATGGCGGCAGGTATGTTTAGCAGCGGCGGGATTCGTTTCGGTATGTTTGATAATAATGATATTTTCATTTTATAATATTTTATAAATGAATATTAATTAATTAATATAATAATGAATAAAATGTGGTGACATGAAAACGCGATTTCAGTAAAAGCGTTTGTACAGTTGAGGAGTTGCAATGAAGAGGCAAATAATGATGGCGGGGAGAAAGGGGTATTTATATATATGTGAAAAACAAAAATAAAAATAAAAATAAAAATAAATAAAAATTATAATTACTATTATTGGGGACACTGTGTATAGTCAACTCCAAGTTGCCAAATGATCCCAATACTCCACTTTAGGCCTTTATGCATCTTTTTTTTTTTTTAAAAAAACTTTTTTATGAGCATTTTTTATGTGCATTTTAACAACACTTCAAAGGGTGGGTGCACTTTAGAGTTTTTACAAAATAAAAATGGATTTTTTTGCTAATTTTTTGATATGATTTTCAATATATATTTTATTTTTATTTAAAAAAAATTATATTTAACATAGAATATTACCGTACGATTTTCCATATTTTAATTATGAAGATTTGATTGAATATAATAACTAAGAAATAATTATATTTTAATATTAAAATGGAATATAATGTAAAAGTAATTAAATTATAGAGAAATAAAATTATTTGCTAAAATAAATTATTCATAAATTTTTCGAACAATTAAAAAAAAAAAACCTATATAATTTTGATGGGCGAAAAGAATATAATTGAAATCATAACATAAACTATATAAAATAGCACACCTTTTATAATCTAACACATGAAATATAAATATATGCTATATGTCAATATAATGTAAATATAAGTAGTCTATAAATTAAGGTGTGATTCCTTGTGAAATTTTACTTCTAATTTTTTTAATTTTACATTCAAATTATCACATCAATACATATTTATATCACATCAAACAACTATTTCTATTCAAAATTTTATTATTCAAAACCAAAATAAAAAACTATAATCTAACAAGTAAACACACATATATAATAGGTCATATCTCATATACTATAATTGGATTTAACGAACACAATATATGAAAATAACACATTTTAAATATCATTTCGATAACACATAAAATATAAACGCGAAAAAGGGAGTAGGTCTAATAAATTTAATTATAGTAGACGAATCATGTGTGATTATTAAATAAAACTCGGAGAAATTGGAGGTTTGTATCTACGATCACGAGTTCACTCCACTACTGGATCATTCTTTATGAAATACTCCATCCGTCTCATATCTATATATCCATTTGCTTTTTGCATGGAGTTTTAGAAATATTAATATTATATTGGGATAAAGTATAAATAAAGGTAAAAAGATTAAATTAACCCTATTAATATTGTATGATATAAATGTAATAACATTTGTGTAATATATTGTAAATTGGAAATGTATTTGTAATATTAGGTAGACAGTACAATTACGAAAAAAAAAAGAAATGAATACTTTGTTACGAAACAGACCAAAATAAAAAAAAAAAAATGAATAAATTATTAAAGGATAAGGGAGTATACTATATTATTATTATTATTAGTATTGGTGAAAAAGATAATATAGTATACTTTAAAATAATAATTTAAATAAAAATGATAATATTCTTATGATAGATAGAGATGGTAGATTTGATGTTAGGGCATCCCATCCCATCGACTCTTTACTTCTTTCCAATTAATAATAATAATAATAATAAATTATATGATAAAGAAGACAGCATTGAACAGTAAAGACCCACTGAATATATTTATATATGGGAATATTGAAAATTTGATAGAGAATTTTGTGGGAGGAAGAGACAAAAGAGGGAAGAGATAATCATCTGTAATTTTCTCATAATGGAATGAGAATATATATATATATATATATATTTTTTATTAATAATTTATTTTATCTATTTGAACCTTAAAAAAGTTGACCTAACAAAGAAAAAAAAAAATAAACAAAACAAACAAGAATCCAAAAAGTAGAAAAGATTATCCTTAAGTACTTTTATCTTCCCCCATGTATATATATACTTTTTTTTTTTTTTTTTTTTTTTTTTTTGTCCGTCTCACATAATTTGTTATTTTTCTAAAATATAATTATACATTTTAATCACATTTTAAAATTCATAAATTATAATTATTTTATTTTAATTAAATTATTTAATCATCTTAATCTTAATCTATAATTATTTTTACTAAATACACTTCTTAATTACTTACTAATTATACAATACTTAAACTCGATAGCTAAGTTAAAAATGAGACAATTTAGCTAGAACGGAGAGAGTATAATGTTTGCTATAAGGCCATCTCCAACCCTTAACTCCATTTTTGCAGTTGCTACAGTAAAAATGCAGTTGATCTACGGTAATTTTACTCCAACTATAAACTTCAATTTTTACTATAAAAAGTATATTCTCTATATATTCTTCTTTTATATTATTCTATATAACTTTTAATATTTATAAATTATACCCCAACTTTAATTTATTTTTACATTAGATTCATACACATATAATTTATATTTTATTTAAAAATTTAAAAAAAAATTAAATAAATATTTAAATACTATCAAGACAAATATGATATAATAATTAAACAAAGATAACGTAATATTATATATTAATTTAAAAAATAAAATTATATATTACTTTCCAAAAATTAAAATTATATCACTTTTAAAAAATTTCAAAAAAAATAAAATTACATACAATTTTTTAAAATATAAAATTATATATCATTTACTAAAAAATTAAAATTACACAATACACTAAAAAAATACCAAAAATATAAAAAATACCACAAAAACTCCACTCCAAAAATGGAGTGGAGTGTATAGCTGCAAAAATTGATTTGGAGGTGGGTTGGAGCCCCTCCCCCTATTTTTTGTACAGGTTGGAGATGATCTAAGTATCTAATTTTAGAAATGACATAATTATAATTAAGAAATACTTCTTTCGACTTAATTTAAGTAGGTTATTTAAAATTTTGTAGTTCATTGAGAAAAAAATTGCCTTCGTCTAATTTGAAAGTAAATAATTATTTTTGATACAATATAAAAGTAATGTAAAAATAATTTTACTTTTATTTTTTAGTGTAACAATAATTATGTGATAATAAAATTGGGGTATTTGTAAAAAAATAAAAAATAAAATACAATATTTTTTAAAATAATTACTTTGTAATTGGACCATCTAAAATAGAAATGTGTATACTTTATAAGTGAATGAAGAGAGTATATTTTATTGATTAGTGAAAGCATGTAAGATGATTTTAATATTTTTATCATTTTTGATTTATGTATAAATTAATTATATGTGTAATAATATATTCTAATTTATATAAAAGCTGAAGGGTATTATGGTGTTGGTATTATTGTGTAATCACTCTCACTATAATAAAAAATGTGTTTTTCAATGATACAGATAAAAATGATAAAATAAGTAATTTTACTTTGGACAGATGAAATATCTCAGTGAAAATAATTATAATATAGTATGAGTAATTATAAAATAAAATAATATAACTAAATAGTTTGATTAAAATTAAAAAAATTAAAAAATAATTAAAATATATAATTTAATCAAGAAAAATGAGATAAGTGTGTTTGTTTGGAGGATTGGATTTTAAATCCACTATTCATCTCATTTTTTCCACCCAAAAATATCAAATCAAATATCTATTTTTTATTTTTTATATTATAATAAAAATTAATTTTACATTCAAAACATCACATCAACACCTATTTATATCACATCATACAACTATTCAAATTCAAAATTTTTATTATTCAAATCCCAACTCAAAATCCAAACTCCAATCAAACAAACAAATGGAGTAAACAAAGATTATATATGTATAAAAATTATGTAATTAATATAAAAATAATAAATATTTATATAATATTATTAATTTTTTATATGTATTTTTTTTCACAGATGAAGATATCCATGAACAAAAAATTTAGGACGAAAAAGGTATATAAATAGAACCAAACAAAAATAATAATAATTATTATTATTATGGCAAAATAGCGAATATGTTGATTAGACATAAGCTTAGCATCCATCGCCACTAAATCCACTGATTCCCTAATTATATGCAACTTGACTAAAAATAATAATAACAATAAAATAATAATAATAATAATAAAAACGGTTGAAACACGTATTGAAATTTCATGTACAACTTTTATTACGTCATAATTAATAAATTATATATAAGAATATAATTAATTTATACATTATTTTATTGTGTATAAAAATATATTCCCTCTGGTCTATGGGGCATTTTGAAATTTTGTAGTAAATTAAGAAATAATAATATTTTATTGGTCAATGTAAATATGTAAAAAATTTTGATATACAAAGTAATTGTATGTGTAATAATATGCTTATAATTTAAGTAAAAAATTATTAATGTATGATTACTTTGATAAAAATAATACTTTGAATGGGACGGAGGAAATACTATATTCAACAAATTTTGGTTTGTTCAGGAATATTTTTAAAACTTTTTGATTTTATTAATCAACAATAATATATTTTAAAAATATTAAATTCAACAAAATACCATATCAAAAATCTTTTTTTTTTTATTATTATAAAAAAATTAAAAATTTAATTTTAACCGTACTTATAAAAATAGATATTATGCATTCTAATAATAAAAAAGTAAAAATTGTAAAAAAAAATAATTATATATTATAGTAGTACTCTCTTCGTCCCCACCAGCTATGAACCATTTTTTTTTGTGACATAAAAGATTATTAATTTTTATTTTTAATAAATTTAATTATATTAAATATATTTAATAAATATAAATTAATTTAATTAAATATTTAACTTCTTAAAATTCTTTTATTTCTATCTCTCTTTAATACAAATATTTTTATCTATATTTAAAAAATTTTATTTTTATAAAATTAATTTTTAAGTTAATTATAAATAAATAAATATTTATTATTTATAAAATAATATCTATATTATATATTTTATTAAGATATAAATTTAAAAATATTTAAAATACCAATAAATTATTATATAAAAAAATAAAAAAACAAAAAAATAAATTATTATTAATAATTTATTATTATGCACTATCTAAATAAATAAAATAAAATAATAAAATAATAAAAAGTAC